GGGTATTTTATGATGATCATTTTCCACATAAAGAACTATACACAGACAGGTATATCACTTAGCTAAATCCAACGACTCATAATAGAGGAGCTGAGGTTTGAAGAGAGAGGGCTCTGCTCTTAACCACAACTGCCTCTAAACCTAAAAAATTTGCCCATTCTTTTTTAAAGTTCCCGTATCAAGTAACAATTCTCAGAACTTAAAATGCACAATAGAATAAGCACACATGCAAAGTAACATAATATAGTTAATACCAGCAGAAAGCTAAAACCTTAAATTTAGTATACACTGACCATAAGGAAAATGGAAAACTTGATTCAGATGGATGCAAGATTCAGTTGAAAAAATTAGAAATGATGGTCCCTGACTCCCTCCTGTGTATACTGGCTCAAAAGAACAGTGAAAATTCCTCAGAAGGGGGTGGCAAAAAACAGGCCTCACTATGATTTTTTCTAGATGACTCTTTTGATTCTAATTTAAATTTGCCGCAAGCTGTGCTAGTACAAAAAGAACATTTATGGATATGTAATGTTTGTCTATTATCGATACATTAACAATGAAACACTAATAATCAGGGAGACACCTTTCTTGCAACAGTTAACATATAACAACTTAAATCATATTATTTACATGATCTTTGTTTTCTTTGCCAGGTCTTTCTCTACTTGTCAGTTGGTTCTGTGCACTGATATTCCAAATCTAAGTGAACGTCCAATAACTAATGCTTCAGGGTCTTTAAAAAAGATAGGGTATAGATTAAAATTTATTTCAATGTAGTCTTAAATTTCCAAAGTGAGTTTTAAATATAAAAGGAACAATGAAAAATCATATGGCCAAATCAATAGATGCTGAAAAAAATTGATAAAATTCAGCATCCATTTCTGATAAAAACCCTTAATTGGGGGCGAGCAGGGACATAATAAAAACTATATATGACAAACACATAGATAGCATCATTCTCAAAGGTGAAAAACTAAAAACATTTCCAGTAAGATCTGATACAAGACAAGGATGTCCACTTTCACTACTATTTTTGAGCATATAATTGGAAGCGCTATCTAAAAAGGCACTTCTTTAAGTTTTCTGAATTCCTGCTATGAGTGAGACCATCTGGTATTTTCTTTTTCTTTCTGGCTTATTTCACCGAGCATGATCCCTTCCAGCTCCATCCATGTTACTGCAAATTGCATGAGTTTATCTTTTTTGATTGCTGAGTAATATTCCACTGTGTATATGTACCACATCTTCTTGATCTAGTCATCTATTTTTGGGCATTTGGGTTGTTTCCATAGCTTAGCTATTGTAAATAGTGCTGCTATAAATAAGGGACCAGAAAAAAGACTAATTATAATAAAGTAAAAATCAAAATCAACAAGCAACTATAAACCAGAGACACACTACACAGGGGGAAGAGGGAGTAGGAGCAAAACAAGGCTGGGGGTAATTGGTGGGAATTGTACAGGGACTATAACCAAGATGAAAATGCATATATTGTGCAAAAATGAAAAATGATGTAAAATATATAAAATTTAAAAAATAATAATTAAATAGATATATATTTATTTTAAAAAAAAAAAAGGCACTTCTCCAAAGATGTAGAAATGGCTAATAGGCACAGAAAAAATGTTCATCATTACTTCTCATCAGGGCAATTCAAATGGAACCTATAATGAGATTACATCATGCCTGTGAGAATGCTTATATCAAAAAGACAAGAACACAGGTATTATTGAGTGTTTGGAGAAAAAGGAAGTAACCCTTTTAGAGTTTGTGGGAATTTGGACTGGTCAAGCAACTGTGAAAAACAGTATGGAGGTTTTTCAAAATATTAAAAATAGATCTAACATTTGCTGCAGCAATTCCACTCCTAGGTATCTATCTGAAGAATATGAAAACACACTAATTTGAAGGATACATGTACTCCTATATGCATTAGTAGCACTATATGTATTTACCACAGCCACAACCTGGATAAGTGCCCAACAATGGATAAGTGGATAAAGAAGATGTGGTACATATACATGGAATATTACTAAACTATGAAAAAATATGAAATCTTACCATTTGTGACAAAACAGAGAAGAGTGGAGAGAATTATGATAAGTCAAATAGGTCAGAAGGAGAAAGAGAAATACTGGATGATTTCAGTCATGTGGAATATAAAGAAACAAAGCAAAAGAAGAGGCAAAACCAAACCAAACAAATCTTTGCAAGTTTTTGACAGTAAAACTTTGTCTATCAGAGAGGGAGGACAATGGGAGGCAAGGGTAGAGACGGTCCAATAGACTGTGGAGGATGATTATAGGTCTTTTGATGGTGGGCATGGTAGAGCCAACATAAATTTAAAGAAGTGTGGACTTTTATACCACTCAAGCATATTTAGTGTTATAAATCAACTTTATCTCAATAAAAAATGCATTAATAAGAAGAAACTGTTGTGGAAGGGTTATATTCTGCACCAATTAAAAGCAAGTACTCCATATTAAAAAAAGAGAGAGAACAAAGTAGGAAACAATGTACCTGTTCTTCCTTCCCTTATCAATTTCCTATCTTTCTCATGGGTATGTTGTCAATAAATGATTAGAAAATACTCTCAAACTAAAAAAAAAAAAAAAAAAAATCAATGTAAGTGCACCATGAAAATGTTATTTCAAACAACTAGTATTTAAGGTTCCAAGCACTTCCTGAGACATTTATCACTTGATACAACAGAAATAAATTTTATAATAAATAACTTCATTTATAAAGTACCCTAGGAAAGAGCAGCCTTCACATATTTTGAAAAAGTTGGCCCTTATGAGGCAAATCTGGAAAATCTTCTAGATAAATTTGTTGACTTTCTTAAATATATTTAGAAAAGATGACTGTGTTTTTAAACTTGACAGAAAAACATAAAACAATGTATATCTCTAAGGACATACATGCATTTATTGAAAAAAAGGACACAGTATTTGGGATCCTAAGCAAAATCCATAAAGCTATTTGTCTTATTCTACTGTATAATACAAAAGCATATTACTTCCATAAAGTACTGTGATTTCTAGAAGTAATGTACATGTAAATGAATTAAGTAATAGCTACTGAAATACATGAAATTACAAATCAAAAGATATGCTTAACTTTTGGTTCTGACTATTATGTAATCCACTCTTAGTACCTCAAATATGACATTATGAGGTTCTAGTAAATCATCGCCAATTTTACTTGGGCAACAGGAAAATTAGATTCCAAAATTTATCAAAAGTCTCTCAGAGCTCCTGATTCTGGGCTAAGATTTTATACTTAAAAACAGAAAGAAAAGAAAAAGAATGAACCCAAGGTCCAAGCATAACATGCAAAATGAAAACTCTCAGAAAATAACTTTTACTTTAATTTTCTTTCCTCATCCTCATTTCTACTATTCTTCTTTATTTTCACCTTGAACAACTACCATTTTATCATGCTTTCTTACTGAAAATATTTAAAAGCATGTTACTTAACACTGCACAGTGAATTATTTCCAAACTTATAAGCAGCAATGTTATAGAAGGGTGCTATCCACCCAAAATGAATGACTCTAACCGTATATGATCTAAATGAGAAAAAGTTAAGTATGGCAAAGGTATTTTAGAAGCAGCTGAGCCTTACAGTCATAGTGAGTATCATGGAGCACAAGCCTCAATCTGAAAGTACACTTGCCATGCTAGCACATCATGCCTTCTTCCACTTTTAATAACCACGTCACTACAGAGCCACACGACTTTGGTACACAGAGACAGCAGTGATAACAGGTATGCAGAGAGATTTTTGAAACTCTCTTCATGTCCAAAATAAAGATAATGGCTGACCCATTTATTCTTATTCCCAGTGTACTTAGCCACATCTCCTTTCACACAGCTCTTGAGGACTGAAACTCCTGAGGTTTAAGGTGAGCACTTCTGGAGAAGCAAGGTCCTGGAACTGTCCAGTTCTTAAGAAGACTTAAGGTCTTCTTGGTGATCTATAGCACAGTTATCTCATGTGAGAGTTGGGTATAAAATTCAACCAAGACTCAAAGCAAGTAAAATGGGAGAGATCAGATTTCAAATGGTAGTAAATTCTAGACAGCAAGATTCTCTGGAGAGGAAGTTGGAGGCCACTAGGGTTAATGAAGGCAGGAGCTGATGGGTGCTCTGGAAGAGGTAACAGGACTATGCTTTAGAAATGCCTAGCACGTGTAGTTCCCCTGTAGATGCACAGAAAAATCTGGCAGTGACCAAATATCCCTGTCTCTACCCTCAGGAAAAAAAGCTCCTATAACCATTGGTAGGCAAAGATATAGAAGATGGCTGCAGGAATTTTCAAATCTGATTAGATCAAAAAAATTCTGTTCATTATGAAATCATGAATTCTCATCAAGGGCATGGTAGCATGGATGATGGAGAGATGATCTTACAAAGGAATCAGATGGGACTTTATCTGTTGATGCATTACTTCATTTTGAGAATCACTGGTTTAAATAGACTCTTTGTAGATTGATTTAAAAAAATACACTAAGGCTACAGAAATACATTATCCAAACTTAGTGTGAACATTATTTTTCCTAAGCTGATTCTAATTTAACTTAATTCAGAGGCTATTCTATTCAATGTATCTTTTCTGTCAAAAATCAAGAATAAATTTCACATATTCTACAATAGAAAATACCCAGATAAATCTCTGCAATAAATATCAAAATCTCAGAGTAATGTATTTGTAGCAAATAGAAATTTTCATTATTTAAAAATATAAAAAAAAATGTATGATATATCAGTTATGATTCATAATTCTCAATTTCATAAATAATCATTTAAATTGGGTAAGAGATAATTCTCTTGGTGGACCAAGAATGTGGGGAGTTGTTATTTCAAATAGGAACATTTCTATTCAGTAAAGGTTTGCCAAATTATAAAGTTTCAGTAAGATTCCTTAAGAGGTAAAACACATCCCACAGTATCAGCAGAGTTCCAGTATTTATCATTTTTTCACCATTTTTTGAATACCTGAGGAGTACACTGACGGCAGCTTGTTTAGATACAGATCCTATCCTCAAAAGGCTGTTGACGGTCTTGCTGGTGAAGAGATGGTCTTCTAGGATAAATAAGATGTAAGATAACATGTAAATCACTAAAAGATTGTTTCAACAGGAGATTAATATCATCACTTTTTTTTTTTTTCAACAACCCACGTCCCAGTATCACACAACTTACCTAAATGTGCTACAGTTTCACTAACTTCTGACTTTACATAACAGAGGGGATGTCCCTCCTCTTTCCCAAGACCACTTCCTTTGTCTGTGTCTTGAATTCCCTATTTTCCTATTTTCTCAATGATATGAATATATAATTCCTTTCGTTGCTTGCATATTTAACCTTTTCCTTTTCCTTTCTAAAGAGATCTATTGCACTGGTCTTTAAATAAACCAAGTGTCTTCCTTAAAACAACATACCAAATCATTTGCAACTTCACTCCTTCCACATATAGGTCCTTAGGCCTATATAGATAATTCCCGTCTCAAGTAAACTTTTGTACAAAATGGCCACTTTCACATCTCCCATTCTCTCTTCATATGGTCTTTAATCCTACCATTCCTCCAAAACTGCCTCCTCCAAAGTCATCTACAGTTGCTCTCAGTCTTGATTGTTTATTTCCTTTATACACTCTTTTCTGTTAGCTTCAATGAACCAGAAGTCCTTGGTTATCTCCTTCTGCCTTTCTGGCCATCCTTGGCCATTAAATCTTGGAGCTCCTCAAGGCAAACTTGAGGTCTCACTTTATCTTCTCTCTAGGAGATTCTCACCTATATCTACACTTTTATTTATCACAGTAAATAAATATAACACAATAAACAGGGGTAAGGAGAGTTATTTGTATAACAATAGGCTGTATGAAATGAATTAGTTGGGTAATCATAGGTTATATGAAAGAAAAAATATTAAATAGGAAATCTGCTGGGAGCAGAACAAGAAAATCTTAGGGTATCAGTTACTAGTATTTTCTCCAATCTTGTGAGCTTTTATTAGAATGAATTATTATTAAGGAATAGAATGATTTTTTTTCCAATATATTTTCAGTATATGGGTGGCAAGTCATCTGTTCTTAGTAGGTTAAGGCAGACAAATCCAATCAAAATGACTAAAAAGGATACTAAAAACTAATCAGTGATTTTAATTAATAGGTTGATTGCAACAATGTATTAAACACCTTTTAAACTGACTTTTTTTTTAAGATTTATTTATTTATACAAGCACTGGGTTCAGTCAGAAGCGTGGGAGGGTGAGAGAATTCACCAGAGCCAGAGCAGGGAGCAGAGCAGGCAGAAGGATCGAAGTACACTGCTGAGGGGAGCAGCGGGCGGCAGGAGAGGTCTGCGTGCCATGTGGGACCCTCCGCCAGTGGCAGGGGAGCAGCAGGGGATCGAACCTGTGCTGCAGAGGCTGCGGGCAGCTTCGCAACCCAGCTTCGCCACCCAGCAACCCAGCGCTCAACCGCTGTGCCACTGGGGAGGCTCTAAACTGACATTTTAATAGTTTCATCATTTTATGTTTTGTGTGTGTGTGTATGTGTGTGTGGAAATTAAAAATCACAATAGACTTTTATGGAATACTATTCAACAATTAAAAAAAATACATCTTTGACAAACCTCACAGGAATTATGATGAATGAAAAGTCCCAAAGATTATGTAGTCTAAGATTCCATTCATATAAAGCTGTTGTATGACAACAATATAGAAACAAAGAACAGATTAGTGGCTGCTAGGGATTAGGGATGGGGAGGGGATGTAGGTGAGTATGGTTATAAAAGGGAAACAAGGAATTCTTGTGCTGGATCTACTCTGCATCTTGACTGAGGTGCATACAAAAAAACTATACATGTGATTAAAAGTACATAGAAACTAAATATATACATACACAGATAAATTTAAGCAAAAGTAGGCTATCTGCATAAGAGCTAGATTGCATCGATGTCAATATCTTGGATGTTACCATTTTAGGGAGACTGTATAAGTGGTACTAATGTACATATTATTTATAATTGCATGCAAAATTTACAATTATCCAAAATTTAAAAGTTTAATAAAAAGTAGCTTCAAGGTATTTATAGCATATTATCAAAGATTATTAGATTATCCATCCTGACTACAGAATTTCAATTTTTTATAGTCTTCCTCTAGTTTATCTACATTTCACCTTTGTTTATATAAGTCTCTGAAGAAAGGCAGACTTAGGTAGACAAAAGGAGACATGTTTTGAGGTTGTAAAGAACACAGCAAAAATATATCAATATTTTCAAAAATAGATCTTGAAATGTACTTGAAAGTTTGAGATCATAATGACATAAACAAGTATTTATGACCTAAGAAAAACTGCCTCCTTTAATACTTTGAAGTATTAAAAAAATCACATAGAATTAAATTACAAAGCTAACACATTTGTTTATGCAGCTGGTCTTTTTTAATGTCAAGGAACTTTAAACCTACAATTCTAATAGGCTTACTTGTGACACCCCAATCCTTTGAAAAATAAATGAAATATCATAAATCATCTGACAGTTCTTAAGCTTAGGTTTTATCATCACTCAGAGGCTTTAACAAAAAGCAATATGAAAGGATAGGTTCTTGTTTTGTGGCCTATAAAGTTTAAGATAGAAAATAAATCATGCTATTAAATGTCAATTAGAACCCTAACTTCAATACTTAGGATTGGATTGGCATAATATTCTTGGTTATTCCTATGGGAATTCATGCAAGTAGAGTAGATTTTCTTACAAAATATATTAGAACTCTGGCACTTCCTGTGATAAATGAAGAAATAAGGCTTTGGAATCGCGACTGGGTATATTTAAGTATTTCACACAGGCAACCAGACTGTCATCTTGCTGGATATGTAGCAGTGTGGATTTATTATTTGGTACCAAAAGGAATGTTTGAATACTTACAAAGAGTAAAGGGTTGGGGATAAGACCTTTTAATTTTAAACTACAAATGTAGGATGACATTACAGCTATAGAGTTCAACCTTATTTTCTGGAGAGGTGATTTAATGAAAAAATAGTCACAGATTTTTCAGGAAATCTTAAAATGAAGAATCTGTAAGATATTCAAAATGTTTAAGAGTCAACAGAACAGTAAGATCTAGGTGTTATCCACAGCATTTAAGAGTTGTCATCATAGTTCAAGAAAATAAATTTTGGGTGACATTCTTCATGACTTGATTTAATGTAAATTTAGTATCTGGGTAATGATGAGTTCAAGTGACACCCCAATTCATAAAAACTTGCCTTCAGAAGTTCCCTGAAGTAGCATTATTGAAGTGAGGTCAAATATTATGAAATATTGATTATGTACCATATAAAGAAAATAATAAAATGAACACTGATCTCCCCACTAGCCAATTCAGGGAATAGAAGATTACTGGTAACTTTGAAGATTCCTTTATGTTCTTTACCATTCTAACTCTAATCCTCCTGACGACACATCTTTCTTCTCCCCACCTATCCTGACTCATAAAACTACTTTTCAGTATGACTTTTTTCAGTTAACATCACGAGATTCGTCCATATTGTTGCAGGTATCAAAAGTGTGTTTCCTTTTTATTACTGAGTCGACTTTCATGTTATGAATACACCAGTCTGTTTATCCATTTTCACTGATGGACACCTGGGCTGTTTCTACTTTTTTAGCTATTATGAATAAAGCTATACATACATAGTGTGTAGTTCTCATAAATATCTTTTTGTGTGTGTGTGGACTTATACTGTCATTTTTCTGGGACAAGTACCTAAGAATTGCTGGGACATTGGATAAGCATATGTCGAGATTTCTAAGAACTTTTCAGATTGTTTTTTCAAAGAGGTTGTATACCATTTAACCTTCCTGCACAAAGTGCAAAGGAGCTTTAGTTGTTCAATGTCCTCATCAGCATTTGATGTTATAAACCAAATAATTTATTTTTGTTGTTTTTCATTTATTAAATTTAATTTTACTTGAGGTAATATTAGAATAACCCTATCAAGTATTGCCACTGTAGTACATCCACCATCAAGTCACCCAGAATCCACCACTTATAGTCCATTGTGCTTCATCCCTCTTTGTTCTTACCCCTACCCCTCCCATGCCTTGTGGATGCTTTTAGTTCTCTAGTTATCTTTCAAGGGTTATATTTTAAGCTTCTCTCAATCTGATGCTAAGTTTGGTTTCTCTATATTCCACACATTAGTGACACCATCCAGTATTTATTTTTCTCCTTCTGACTCATTTCACTTAGCATTACTCCTTCCAGCTCCATCCATATTGCCATAAATGGCATGTATTTATCTTTTTTGACGGCTAAGTAATATTACATTGTGTATATATACTACTCATCTGATCCACTCATCTATTTGGGGGCATTTAGGTTGTTTCTGTATTTAGGTATGGCAAATAGTAATGCAATAAACATGGGCATGCATGTTTCCTTTTGAATTAGTGTTTATGAATTTTTCAGGTAGATGCCTAACAATGAAGTTACTGGGTTACAAGGCAGATCCATTTTAGTGTTTTGAGATATCTTCATACAGCTTTCCATAGAGACTGTATTCCCAACTGCAGTGTAGGAGAGGTCCCTTTTCTGTACATCCTCACCAGTATTTGCTGTTTCTGGTCTTTCCAATATGGGCCATTCTCACAGATATGGAAAGGTATCTCACTGAAGTCTTGATTTGCATTTCCCTGATGATTAAGTGATGATGAACAATTCATGCATTTTTTTGCAATGAGTATATCTTTTTTGGAGAAATGTCCATTTAGTTATTCTACCTACTTTTTGATTGTTTTTTTTTTTGTTGTTGTTCTATTGTTGAGTTGTATGTAGTTCTTTGCAGATCTTGGATATCAGTCTCTTGTCAGATGTATGATATCTAAATATTTCCTCCCATTCAACAGGGTATATTTTCATTTTAGTTATGCTTTCTTTCACTGTACAGAAGCTTTTGTTTGATTTAGTCCTACTTATTTATATTCTTTTTTTGTTTTCCTGGCTGTTGTGGATAAATCCCTAAAGATATCACTGAAGCTTATGTCATAAAGTGCTTTGCCTAGCTTTCTTTCCTCTATGTATTATATGGTTTCAGATCTTATATCCAAATCTTTTGTGCATTTGGAATTGACTTTTGTTTATGGTATGAGATAATGGTCTAGAATCTTTGTTTTGAATGCAGCTGTCCAGTTTTCCCAATACCATTTATTGAAGGTGGCATCCTTTTCTAATGCAAGTTCTTGGATCCTCTGTCACAGATCAACTGTACAGAGATGTGGGTTTATTTCTGGCCTCTTAATTCTATTTCATTGACCTGTGTATCTGTGTTTTGTTCCATTACTACGCTGTTTTAATAATTATGGCTTTATAGTACAGTTTGAAGTCTGAACATGTGATAAATCCATTCCCTCTTTTTCATCACGATTGCTTTGGTTATTTGTGATTGCATATGAATTTCAGTAGTGTTAGTTCCAGTTCTTTGAAGAATGCCATTGATATTTTTATTGCATTGAATCTGTATATTACTTTGGGGGGTAAGGCAATTTTTACAATGTTGACTCCTCCAGTCCATGAGCAGGGAATATTTTTCCACTTCTTTGTGTCTCCTTATATTTCTTTTAATAATGTCTTAAGTTTTATTTATATAGATTTTTTTTTAATATCCTGTATTAGGTTTACTCCAAGGTATTTTTTTTCTTTTTTTGATGATTGTAAATAGGGTCACTTTCTTAATTTCTTCCTTTCTTATCTTATTGTTTGTTTATAGGAAGGAAGCTGATTTTTGTGTATTGATTTTATACCCTGCCACTTTGCTAAACTGATTGTTTTGATTAGTTTTTCCATGGAGTCTGGACGGAACTCTGTTTATATTATCAGGTCATATGAAAATAATGATAGCTTTACTTCTTTCCCAATCTGGATTCCTTTGATAGCTTTTTCTCATCTGTTTTAGCTAGGGCTTCCAACACCATATTGAATAGCAGTGGTAAGAGTAGGCATTCTTGTCTTATACCAGATCTTAGTGAAAAAGCTTTCAGTTTTTCACAACTAAGAATGGTATTACTTGTGGATATGTTGTATGTAGCTTTTGTTATTTGAAGGTATGTTCAGTCTATCAGTTTTTCCAGGGTTTTCATCATAAATGGATGTTGGACCTTATCAAATGCTTTCTCAGCATCTATTGATATGATCATATGATTTATATCTTTCTTTTTGTTGATATGATAAATCATGTTGGTAAATTATGTTTTCAGATGTTAAACCACCCTTGTGTCCCTAGTATAAAACCTATTTGGCTATGGCATATGATCCTTTTAATGTATTGTTGGATTTGGTTTCCTAGGATTTTTACATCCCTGTTCATAAAGGAAATTGGGTGTTATCTTTGTTTGGTTTTGGAATAGGAATACTGTTCACCTCATAAAAAAGTATTAGGATGTATACCTTCTTTTTTAATATTTTGAAAGAATACACACAGGACAGGGCCTCCCTCGTGGCACAAGGGGTTAAGACACAGAATTATAAAGCTATCCGCAGCAACTGCAGAACTAGTTCGAACCCTGGCCAGGGAGGTGACCCACATGGCGCAGCAGACCTCTCCTGACTCGTCTGCTGCTCCCCTCAGCAGTGCATTTCAGTCAATCTGCCTGTTCTGCTCCCGACTCTGTCTCTGGTGAATCCTCTCACTGACCCCCCTGCCCCCACCTCTGGCCTATACCTCAGTTCTTGTATGCATAAATCAATCAATCTTAAAAAAAATAGTAAGAACAGGACAGGTATTAGTTCACCTTTCAAGGTTTGGTAGAATTCACTTGTGCAGCCATCTTGTCCTTGACTTTTGTTTTTGGGGAGAGTTTTGATTGCTGGTTCAATTCCCTTGCTTATGATTGGGTTGTTCAGGATTTTCTGCATCTTCCTTACTCAATCTTGGATGATTGCTTGATTTTTAAAAATTTTCCATCTCTCCTAGGTTTCTGAATTTGTTAGTGTTTAATTGTTCATAGTAGTCTCTATCCTCTGAATACTTAGAGGTGTAATTTTTACTCTTTGATTTTTGTTCCCATTTATTTGAGATTTCTCCCTTATTTTCTTAGTGAGCTTTCCTAGAGGTTTGTCTATTTTGTTTATTTTTTTCAAAGAACCAGCTTTTGGCTTTGTTAATCTTTTAGATTGACTTTTTGATTTGTACTCATTTATTTCTGCTTTGATTTTTATTATTCCTTTTCTGACTTTTGGATTTCTTTTTCTAATTACTGAAGATTAGCAAGAAGGTTAATTATTTGAGCTCTTTCTTGTTTCTTGATGTGAGCATGCATTGCTATGTATTTCCCTCTTAGTACTGCTTTTACTGCATTCCTTATGTTTTGGAATGCTATATTCTTGTTATCCTTTGTTTCAAGGTATTTTTTGATGAATTTATTAATACAATAGTCTTTCAGTAGTGTGCTGTTCACTCTCTGAGTATTAAAGGATTTCCCTGGTTTTTTTTTTGGGTAGTTGATTTCTAGTTTGAAACCATTATGATCCCAGAAAATGCTAGATATGATTTCAATCTTTGTAAATTTGTTTTCACAATTTTTTTTGTGTGTGTGTCTCAGAAGGTGTTCTATTCTAGATACTGCCCAATATGCACCTGAGAAAAATGTGTATTCTATTCTTCTTGGGGAGGAGGGTGTGCAGTGACCTGTAAATATGTATATGGTCCATGTGCTCTTAAGTATTTACTTAAAGCTATTGTGTACCTATTTATTTTCTTCCTAGTTTTATCTGTCTATTTGGTGAAAGTAAAGCACTGAAATCCCCTGCCATAATGTGCTTTTTCCAATGCCTGTTTCAGAGTTGATAGTAGCTGCCTAGTGTATTTTTGTGTTCCTTCATTTGGTGAGTATACATATACTGATGAGTGTTATTATCTTCCTGGCATATTGTTCCTTTAATCATTATATAGTCTCCCCTGTATCTCCTGTTATCTTTTTTAACTGGAAATCTATTTTGTCTGATATAAGGATGATCATCTCTGCTTTCTTTTGCAATCCACTTACTTGAAGGATTATTTTCCAGCACTTTACTTTGAATCTATAAATCAATTTGGGGGAAACTGTCAATTAGCTGAGTCTTTGAATCCGTAAAATATTATCTTTATTCATATATTTCTCAGAAATGTTTTATTGTTTTTCATAACATGTTTGCATGTTTTGTTTAGATTTACTCTTAAAGGTTCTACTTTTTAAAAAAGTGGGTTAATGGCATACTATTAATCATTTCACTTAAAAAATTAATTATCAGTTAGGGCTGATTCATCATACATGCTCTTTGTAAATACTAAATACACCAAAATCCCCAACAATTTTGTTTATTCTGTATAAAAGCAAGACAAGAATTTCTAAAACTGGGACAAGGACTCTACAACTTGGCATAAAAATAAAGGATCGGATAAACCCCAATAGCATCTATGCAGGAAGTGGGGTCAGAAAGTTTCTTTAATCTCCTCTCACTTTAAGTATATTCTGTGATGGGTCAAGAAGGGAATCAGATACACGATCACTTCTGTCTAGTGTTGCAGTGATTCTTCAAGCACTTAATTGTTGTTACCTAACTGTTGTAGTCAACTCTTTTTAGACTTCTGGCCCATATAGTCATGAGCAAGGGTTTCAGGAAAAGTAAAGGAAACAGTTTTTAGCTTTGACTTTTGGGAAGAAATAACAAAGATCATTATCTGATGCTAAAGACAGACCGGTATCAAAAAGGTGGTAGGTGTCCCATTTGACCTTTCTATTACATTATATTTATTTCACTTTTTTCACCTCACTGCTATTCCTTTTAATTTTCTGGTTCTTTTGAGCATCACTAATTTCACTACTTATCTTCACGATCTGATTCTTAAGACTTCTTTATTTATCAGGATCTAAGAGTAAACAGATTAAATTCCTCATCATTACACCAATTGTACTAACTGGTCTTTACTTGCCTCTTACTGCTTTCTCTTTCCACTCCCCCACCTCCTTTTAAAAAGGTCTTTCATTCATGTTTTGTGTTGACTTTCTTCCCAAACTTTTATTGAATTTGTTTTCTACCTGAAGCGGTTTTTTTTGTTTTGTTTTGTTTTGTTTTTTGGGCCTAATTAAAGTGGCCATTTTTGCTTCTGTGTTGGTGGCCATTGGTTAAGCAACTTTCCCTAATCAGTAAATGCTATCTACTTACTCACTTAAATTTCTTGTTACTTTTTTTTCCATGTCTCATCAGTATTAGAAGCAGATCAAATTTGAGACTCTCTTGTTTTTACCACTTTTCACTTCAATTTTTCCTTTTATCTGCTTTTCTTCCTCTTCCTTCTCTTCGCCCTCTCCATTATTAATATCACTTGCCAGCTTGTACTCTTTCTTTCTTGCTTCTGATCTCTTGCCAATATACTGGCCACAGTTTTTACTACAAATCACAAACTTGGTAGTTTCATTTCCAAAGGTGGAAGTGGTATTATATTTTACTTTTTTCACCAATCCAAATATATTTTGAGCTTTCAAGCTCAAGTGTGCAAGATCCTTTACCTATTTGATTTACTTTGCCTATCAACAAGCAAAATACATGTTTGGGCATTTTTTGACAATAGTATTCACAGTGTAAGAAAGTTCTTGCCCTAGATTCTACTTCATTGTGAACTAACTTTTGTAGATTGGTATCATGAAAACGTATTGCTTCATTCTTGTTTTGAAGAAATTAAACCTACGTGTAGACAAGTATAGTTATGTGGGTGATCTTCTCAAATAGTTTGTTTCAGATCCTGTCCAGCAATTAGGAGATTGCTAGAAAATCATGATTCTTGTCTGCATTTTGAAGAACCCAAAAGCCTAAGAAAAAGTACTATTATCAGAACCCACAGTTCATCTATCAAAGTTCATTACAGATGCTAAAAAGCTTCCAGAATTGGGACAAGGAAAATCAAAGCCTTGTCAGATCCTATTTTCATGTCTCAAAATACATCTCTACTTTGCAAAACCCAGTTTAAAAAAAAGGTCTGTTCTTCAGACTTCAAAAAAGGTTCAAATGAATACTTTTTGAATATTTTACAAGTCCAAAACTACTTGCCTATGAACTTATACTTGAAGGATTGTTTGGAAAGACATAAAGAACTATGTTACCTCTTCTTAACTTGTATATCTTTTAAATATGCTTTATTTTCTTACACTGAGTATAATCTGTGGTCAAAGCAATTATCCTCTTGTAAATAATTTGACTTAATTTTTTTGGCTCCCTAACAGAATGTCTCTTTACCTTTGAGGTCCAGTAACTTTATGGGTCCAGAAACACAACATGACCTTTCTATCTTCAGACTCAAGTTGTCTTTTATTTCAGAACAGCTTAATTTATAAACAATGAGTTCATTTCATTAGTTGGGGTGACTTGACAATCTGCTCTGCCTGTCTTTCAATAACAATGGTCTACAAATTGACACGTGTTTGGCACTACATGAATGTAAGAGGTCTAGTTAGGAGTAACTTCTGATCCAGTGGGTGGCACTCATAGCCAACTAGATAGACCAAAGAAGCTTTCCAGAATCTTCCCCCTAAGATGTGGTTGATGGAAAGTAGGGGTGGAGCTGAGGCTTTGGCAGTTGAATGGCTTGAACTTGACAGTTAAACTGCTGATGAGGAGGGGTGTCTGTGCAGACGCGATCAGCTACCCATGTGCAGCTTCAGCTTGGACCCAGTCTCTGCTCAGCAGATACTATGTGGAATAGGACAGACTTTGTCTAGTCATGTGCTAGCCCATAAATTCTCTTTTATCTCTCCCTTTTCACACTCTATGTAAGTAAATTCTGTTATTGTTTCTCACCATGTTTTCTTTTGGGCCATGTTCTGCATTCTTTTTTTTTTTTTTTTAAGACTTTTATTTATTTATTTATTTTTAAAGATTTTTATTATTTATTTATTTATACATACAAGCACTGGGAACAGTCAGAAGCGCGGGAGGGTGAGAGAATTCACCAGAGCCAGAGCGGGGAACAGAACAGGCAGACTGACGAAATACATTATTGCTGAGGAGAGCAGCGGGCGCCGCAGGAGAGGTTTGCGCACCATGTGGGACCCTTGCCAGCGGCCGGGGATCCAACCGGCACTGCAGAAGCTGCAGGCAGCTTCGCAGCCCAGTGCTCAACCGCTGCACCACCAGGGGAGGCCCCCATGTTCTGCATTCTTAAGCATGCAGGTGAATACCCACCAATCAGGTTAATGTAGTTTTACTGGGTTTACTCTGTTTCATAAAGATTTTTCAAGAGATATGTATGCACAGATCATTTTAATTCAATCAATTTTCCAGATACTCAACTTCCACCCTTCGTACTACTGAACCTTCTGAGAATATATCTCTAACAAAGGTGTCATGCCAGTTTCTTTCTCATTCTCTATTCCCCTCCTTTACAATCATTGTTTTTTCCACTTTATGAAATAAATACATAATACCTCTCACCAACCCTGTCTAGTGCATTTCCTTGTGATGTACAAAAACCTCTAGGATGCCAAATCTATAAATCCTCCTTAATCAAAACCTACAATAAGGTTTTATTCTTCGCCCATCACACACACAAAAACACACACATATATATTTTTTGAATTGAGAAAGGAAGCATACATGTTCATGTTATTATATCACGTATATTATAAATTCAGACGTATAGGAGAATGAAGCAGTAGTTAGAACATTTGCAATTAAGGGTCTTACCTCTTTTGTAGCCTAATTTTATTGTTAAAGAATCATCTCAACTCTGGGAGATTTTAATGAACACAAACAAATATAAAGGCAGCAGCTCCTTACTGTTTCCAGGCAACACACAGTAATGCTCTGTGCCATACCTAGTTATCTATATTAGAATTAGAATTCAGTTGTGTGATGGTGTCATGGAGACATACATTAACATACTTATTGAATCAAAAAATCATGTTGGAAATTTGATTCAAAGATGGATCAGAGATAGGCTGGAAATAGAAAAATAGTGCTGCCAATTAGACTAAATGGCAACATTTTCCCAAAATTAAGTGATCTACACTTACAGCAGCAAGTCTTTGATAAAAATGTACATCTGACATATGTTAAGATAAAAACTTCTCTAAAACTCATCATATATTGTCAAATATATATATTAAAATTAACAATGTTTCTAACAACCCTTTCTCAGTAT